CCCCCCCCCCCCCCCCAAGCATACTGCAAATTAGCACTACAGTGAATGTGTGCACATGTGCCAAATGCAGTTTGTGGTACCACAAATGCATGCTTGTGGGGATGCACCCAGTGTGACTGTTACTCAGAAAAAAAGTGCTAATGATGATTCCCTTGCAGAAGGACCATTTAACTTCAGCATAACAGCCTCACTGTGTCTTCAAAGGGACTTAAGAGGTGTTCCATCATCCTTGTGTCAGTCCTCTGTAATGCAGCCTCATCTAAGAATTGTCCACACCTATGATTAGCTCCAATTTCAGCCCCTGCTGTAGCTGCACCAGTGCAGGTTCATGGGACCTGGAAGGGGGGGGAGGTGGATGGATTGGACCCCCACCCTCCCAAGGTGGGGGGCTCCAATCTACCTGCCCCGCCTTCCCATCCAGCATGGGCAAACTCTGACCTCCCCTTCCTTCTCCCCACTGTCATCCTGCAGATGGCACCAGAGCTGGGAGTGGGGGTGGGAGGGAGGCTGCAGACCTGCAGCTCCTCCTGGATCAGCTCCAAAGTGGAGTTTGTCCCCTCTCCCTCCCCACAACAGTGAATACCTGTTGGGTCAGGGAGGAGGGGGTTGCTGTAACTCATGGTGCTTCCTGTTACAGCGGGGACCTGCATATCTGTCACTGGCCAAAGATTTGTAGAGGGGATAACATGGAAAAGGAAAGGCATCACTCCCACTGGATGCAATTCATAGTTTTTTGCATTCTGAGGCAACTTTGAGGGGGCAAATTTGAATGCTGGAAATGAAAATTGTCAGGTTCTGACAACTAAAATGAACGTTCTTACTTTCCGGATTTACTTGAATGCCACATACAACTTTCCCCACAAAAATTAGCCTTCCAAAGTTGGGGTAAGTGCCTTAAGCAGAGAAGCAGATGTTTCTTCCCAGAATAGCAGCACTGGCACTTTTATTCATGTAGTGCTGAGGGAGTCAATGGACTTATTATAAAAGCAATGATATATTTGATTCCAACTACTTGCTCTTCACTCAACAGGTGTTAACAAACCAATCTCCTGTTTAATGGTCTTGACATTCCACTAATCAAGCTACCCTTTTTTAAGCAATTGTGCTGAAGAACTCACAATTTAGTTACTCCTGGTCTCTCTTCCCCTATTTCACAGCCCTGCAGACTGTTTTTCGTTTTTATAAAAATCCTAGATCCATCCCTTTAGTTGTCTTCAGTAGCAGCTACAGTTTCATCTTTTAGCTGAGTAACCAAGAGTTGCTGACATTCAGATGTGAAAGGGTTAAAACTAACTTTTGTCAGAACAGGAAAAGGGAAGATGAATAAGTTGAAATTTAGTCTCTGTCCTTGTTGTATGCAGCCATAACTTAGGAAGGAAGGCTGGAAAGAACACAGTTTCAAAGAACAACATGCACGTCTTATCTGGGGATGCAGGCTGTGCAAAAACTATGGTATTTTGAACTGGAATGAAATAAATTTTATAGGCAAGTGAGCAGAAGTTGGGAACAGAACTGAAGAAACCAGACTCTGTTTCTCTTAAACTCTTTCCCATCTCCTCCTAGTAGTGTGTGTGCGGGTGGCCGGTGTGGCGTGGGAAGAGGAGTAATCATCAGGGATCCTGATTTTTCTCTGTTAACCGCCCCCCCCCCCCGCCCAATTCTCTGATTTTTAAACCCCAACATCCACGTTTTTCCACAACTGCATGGGGGGGGGGAAGGATACGTGGCTCCTCAGATTTCTGCAACCACAGCAGGTGGGACCCAGTGCAGGAGGGAGTGCCGCATCACCATGGCCACCAAGGTGAGGTGCCCCTTGCACACCCAGCAGTAGCAGGGGGGCAAAACTGCGTTGCTGCCACCACTGGGAGCTACGCCACCACGGCCATCAAAGTGAGGCACTGCTGTGATGGGAGCACAGAGTTGTGCCCCCCTACTGCTGCTGGGCAGGAGGTGCTTCACCTTGGTGGCCACCCTTCTGTGTCTGATCCCACCTGCCAGGCTGTGGAGATGGCTTTGGCTTGGTGCCAGTCCAGCCCTGTGCCCCACTGTTGGTGCAGAAATCTGGGGGGGCATGTACCCTGACATGTCACCTATGCCCTCCCCACCCCCGAATTTTTTGCAGGGAGCTGTGGGAGCTGCTCTCTACACTGCCTGGCTGCATTGCTGGCCTTGTGCATATATGCACGCACACATGCACATGGACCCCTGCCTCTGATCGCCCTCCTGCTCCCCGCAGCCCCTTGCAGGCTGGAACTCTGCCAGCCTGCAAGGGAAAACCTATGTTTTCCCATGATTTTCTCCCTTTTTAAAAAGGAAGAAAAATCCATTATTTTTCTCTTTTAAAGGGGAAAATCTGTATTTTTTTTCATGGGAAATGAAAAACCTGGATCCCTGGTAATCAGGCTGTTTACTTGCAAAATATGGCTGTCTCCTTGTTCTTTCTTTTTCAGAATTGACATCCATATCAAAGAGCCAAATTCTGTATAAGAGATTTTATATGTAGAAAACTGCAGTCTTTTTTACATTCTTCTGAGAGTCTGATTGCATTTACTTTTTTTCCCTGTGGTGGCAACTGAAATGAATCTTCTGATTTCATAAGTTTGACTGTGGCACGGGATATAGCTACTATTTAATTTTACTTAAGCCGTTCAGGAAGAAAGTGCTCTTTATTTTTAACAACAAATATTGATTTCTTTTTAGCAGACTTTGAGCCTAAGAGTAACAGGAGACAGCAACAGGGCAGTAGCAATTATATCATTACTTTCAGTAAAGAAAGGTTATATAGTCTGCTGGAACCATTTGACCACCAGATGGCACTGCTGGTTCATATTAGTGCAGATCTATTTTTTTTTTTTCTATTTCTGTCAAACTCTATAACTCTTCCACTTCAAATGCATACTTATATCTTTAATGTATATAATGGACAAAAAAAATTAAATCTAATGCAGGGCAGGGGATTAAGCTTTTATTCACATATGCAAGATACAGAAGTCAAAATGCCTACCAGGAAAGTCTATAGAGTGTAGAAGGAAGTCCCTTCTTCCCCCAACACCCTTCCCGCTTCCAGGAAAAGGAGTGTGAGTTAACAAGTGAGTCACATGCCAACTGGAGTCTTGGGGAAAGTCCATGACCCTCCTAGCTGCTCTACAAGGATTAGTTCAGGGCCGCAAGATAACTTAAGTTGTTAACTGCTATTTGCATTTCCTGCTCAAAGGTAAGGGCTTGTTAATCAACCAAAGGGTCTGAGTGTCACTATGCTTAACGAAAGTTCTCTAACACTTAAGGCTAATTTTGGGTGACAGTGTTTTAGCAGTAAGAGTCCAATTATTTTTTTTCCCTCCTAACTGAATTGTGTTCCCTTTTTCTTGTATTCATACTTGGTTTTGTGCATCTGCCTCTCCTCTTAAAATAATGGTGTTGGGTGATATGTGTCTTAAAGAAAGAAATGCTATTGTGATTTATTAAAATATTGTCCAAAAATTTGCTAACTACTGTATAGACAAATGTAGAAAGACAGCAATGCACTGGACTTGCAACACCAAAATGAGGTTTTGTTGTTCTTTAACTTCTTGCAAAGCACATAGCTGAGAAGGTGCACTTGGGAAGCCTTTCTTAAATGACAATGCCTTGAAGACAATACATGATCTAAGAGTTAGAGCACAACCTAGGCTGGGGAAGATCTGGATTTAGTTTCTGCTCTTCTAGAAACAGCTTCCGTGACCTTGGGCAACTCCATTTTAGGTGCGTATGTCCTCTTGGAGATCTAGTCCTAAAGATGGACTTGAACAAAGGTCCAGAGAGTGATCCTCAAACTCCACAAGTGCTTCACGTCTGACAACAGAAGGTCCCTAAAGCTCTGCTCCTGCACATTACCTGGATTTATCTTAATTTTCTCTGTGTGGAGCAGTTGTGTAATGAGGGGTAGGTGACCAGGTCACTAGCTCTAGCTGCCTACTTGAGGAGGGCACACAAACAGCAGCTGCTGCCATCATTACAACCAACCCAGCTCAGCCCCTGCCACTATTACTACCCAGGGCATAGACCCTGATAGTTCGGCACTGAACTGCTAGGCAAGGGCATATCTGGTGGCCGTTTACAAACTCACCAGTGGGGACCAGCAGGAATTGGGGGAGGCTCTATTCCCCCAGGCGCCACCCAGGGTTACTAAGAATAATGGCCACAAATTGTTAGAGAGAGGATTCAGGCTGGATATCAGAAAACATTACTTTACAGTTAGGGCTGCCAGGCGCTGGAATGGGCTCCCAAGGGAAGCGTAGCTATCTCCTACCTTGGGGGTCTTCAAGAGGCTGGACAGATATTTGGCTGGGGTGATATGATCCTGGCACCCATTGGGCAGGGGGTCGGACCTGATAATCTGTTTAGATCCCTTCCAACCCTAAGTACTATGATATCTCGCATAAGCTCTGTTGGGATCCTGCCCTTGAAGACCTACTTGGCGGCTACCCAATAAATATTTATAGGTCAGGCACACACACAACACAAGAGCAGAAGCCATCACCTTTTGCCCTAAAAGAAAAAAAATATTCATTCCCAAACACACTGCTTCCACCTACACAGGTTCCCAAATGCTTGCTAAGGGACATCTCTCTCACCTTAGGTGGTTTATTTGGGTATTCAGGGACACTGTTTTTTGCTTGAAGTGGGAATGCAGTTGACTGCCAAAATGTACTAAATTTACATTTATTTTGTGACTAGTAGAGAGATGTTAAGTAAAATGAATCTTCTAACAGTGTATTCCTTCACCCTCTGGCCAGGGAGAAAGGGACTTTTGAAATGGAGAGGAGGGTGGGCATCCTAGCAAAGGGAGGAGGGTAAAAAACCATGCATTTGAAAACCATGATATATTGCATTTTACCTGAATTCCCTTCTCCTTCTTTGAATTAACTGGTTTCTCTGAATTTGGCTCAGCCCTGGTGGGGGCTGCTGCTGGCAATCAAGGGGGGCAAGGCAGTTCTGGGTCAGTCTCAGCATGCCTTACTGACTCCCTCCTCTTTCTTGCTGTGCTCTTAGGAGGTTGGATCCTCCCATTCATGTTTACAATAAGGACCATAGTGAAATGGGGTTCTCACCCCAAATAAGGTAATCAGCCTCTCTAGTCTTTATAACCTTGCCTTGTGATTGGAGTACGGCACATCCTTTCCCTCTGTCTAACATTTGTCTCTTGTTCCTTTCATAAACCTTAGCCTGCATTCCCTCTGCAATTACCTTAAAGGCATTCCTAATGTAGGGTTGTTCCAATGTTGTGCTTATGCAGACCCTACTTCTCACAGGTTAAGATCTCAAAAAGTTCCCACCTATTCCAATCAGGCGCACACGATGTAGGTACCCATCTCCTTTTTATTGAAGCTATATCTGTTTGCTTGAACATGTAGGTAGCAGGGAAAGAGGCATTTGCAAAACACACTGCAGATTTTAAGATGGTGTGGAGGGAGAAGGGACATGCTTGCATCACTTTGACCTACAACAGTAAAATTGCAACTGAAGCTTCATAGTTGAAGGAACAAGAAGAGCATTGTGAAACAGAGGCTGCAAAGATGTGGAGACAAACACAAATGATGCAGCAAGTACACTGGCATTAGCTGTATGTCAGTGATGGGTTTGTGTTGCTTGGAGGGGTGATGCTAGCCAGCACCATACTTCAGTTTTGTGGCTCATATCAAATGAAGATGTGGCTGCATGTTCACCTTTTGCAATAGACATTGACTTGTGTTAGTGTAATTCCTGGTGTTGACCAGACTGCAGTTTTTTCCCTGACTAATAGAGGTATAAAACTGATCTGAAATGGATCCCATAGGTCAGTGTTTCTCAACCTTTTAAGCAGCAAGAATCCCCTAACTTCTGAAAATTTTAATAAGTACCCCAACACTCAATTTTCCAGGGGATTTTATATTTGCAAACTAATGTGTGCCATATGTTGGAAGAAGGGCTGTGTATATAAGGCTGTGATATGACAGATGTCTGATCTGGTGTGGGTAGGGTTGCCACCTTTTACACCAGGGGTGCACAACTCAAGTGTGTACCAAGGCTAGAGGTGATGTTGGCCAAAGCTAGGAGGGCTGAACACCAAATTATTACTGGGGAATTTAATTTTTTTAATTGCATCAAATTTTTTGCCCCAGTTTTGCAAGGAAAAGAGGGTGAGAGAATTTGAGGTACCCACGTGTCCCCTGCCTGTGTCTTGCATACCCCCAGGGGTACACATACCACAGGTTGAGAAACTATGGCATAGGTTTAAAAAAAAAAAAAGATACTCTTTACATTCTAATGAAGGCTGGGTATGTAAGTGGACCAAACATCAGCATTGCTCTGTTCTTTTCTTGATTCTGGCACTAACTCACTTTAACCTTTACTGAAATCCTCTATGAAATCCCCGATGCGGTTCAACAAGGACAAGTGCAGAGTGCTGCACCAGGGGAGA